GTCTGCAGGCACATCTAGTAATAGTTGAATCGATCGATTATCGGGCGATAAATCGCTAGGTGTAACTAGAAAAAATCTAGTAATCACCCAATTACTAGATTTCCACTGTCGTTACACAGTAGTTGCAATCGAGTAAAAATCTGGTAATCTAGATGAATCGGGCGATACTAGATTCTTTTTTTATGCTTGGGATATGACATCTTTAAAGCCAGTTGATTACTGCAACGACATGTGGTACATACTATGTTATTAGACAAAAAATCAGCATTTTTTTGCCCTCGTTCAATTTATATCTCTGCGCAAACTTTTCAGGAAAAATTTTATTAGTTTGATATAATTCTATCAAATGGTGGAAATGTTGATGACCGGTAGTTGCATTGAAGGTGATAGCATAATGAGACGATTAAACCGAAAATAAGAAGGAATTAGATATAATGTACGTACATGGTACAATATATAGTAAAAATAAGCTGATACCAGTTGTTAGTGCAATTGGCTTTACAAAAATATCATGGAACAACTAACATCTTAAGTATTTACTATTTATATTTGATATACAAAGTGAAAATCGTTACCTAGACGGTTTAAAAATGAAGCAAGATCTTTTAAAACAATATACGGAGATTATAAACTATATTGTTATAAATATAGAACATCTACTAACCGTGCTAGTATACAAACACAAATGAATTTTTGATAACCTAACTTTTCAACTAAGTAATATTGAAAGGAAAGATATAATTAAACAATTTCAAAATAAATAAATCATTAACAAAGCAATATCGTATACAATATGATCTGTGTGACAAAATTTTAAATGAAAGTCACATTTATGAAATGGTACGAGGACTGACGACTAAGTGCATCCGCTACAGTGTCACTAAAACATATAGGATATTCAAAGTTCGAACTGAAAGTCATTGGATGAAAATTTTAGATTTAAATTAGCTTCAAATAACATTTCATTTTCCATCATATTTTAATCGAAGCTAGTTTACATCAATTTGAGAGGTTAAGATTATTTTGAACTCATTCAAAACAAATTAGTCTAAATGAATTTTGAAAGTAGAAATTAATTTGAACAACTTTAAAGCACAAAATTTTATTTCGTACTCATTCGAAATAAATTAATTCAAACCAGTTTAGTTAAAACTAATTTAAATTAATGTTTTTCAAACTAATTGGAGCTAATTTTAGCCTAGAAATGAATTCTAGGTCATTTTAACTGCCAAATTGATGTAAACGAATTTATTGTAAACGAATTCAAATTAATCTGGCCATATAAATTCATGTAAAGTAATTTTTCATCTTTTTTTGATCACAAAATAGTTTGCATTAATTTGAAAGTATTTAAAAGTTGCAATGGGTATAGTCAACGTCTATGTGTATACTTATTTTTGATGGTTTCCCTAAGAATATTAACGTTGTAGACAATTACTAAGTATTTTGATATTAGGCAAAAAATAATATGAACAATAGCCCATTTCTAAATACTTTAAAGTATAATCGATCCATTTTTCTGCCAGTTTGTTGCTGTCAGCATTTTCTAAATGATTTTCATTTTCACATAACCATAATATAATTGTTTAAACAAAATAAGATGGAATATATTTATCATTTATGATCAAATAAAATTTTGATAGTAACTCAGAACAAATACTACGAGTTATTCTATGCTTTTTCATTTGTTTGATGTAGTTCTGCGAATTTTTGTTCGATTTCTGAGAATGAATAACAAAATTGTATACTGAGTTTTTGTTAATGGGGATGACCACTATCGGTTAATGATGATGATGATTTCGGTATAAGACAAATTGATAATTCTTTTATATTCTTATATAAATCATATCGTTTTAGTTTAATACGATAAAAAAACGTAACTAAAATTTTCGTTATAAAATTGAGACTTATAGCTAAGACTAAACCACAATCATATGTACGATATGCAAATTCTTGTATAGCTCGTTTATAATGTGTTTCTGTTATAAAATTTTGATACTTTTGTAAAAAAAGTTGTTTCACTCGTTGTATTTCAATTGTTTTTTCTAATGATATATCTCTAGGTGGTCCATTTAGTATCATTTGAAATTTATAATTAAAACAAAAATCATCAATAATTGTTTTGGTATGAGGACTGACGACTAAGTGCAACGACGACCAAGTAAAGTTAGAGCCAAGAGTCAACACAATGAGCCAATTCTCTATTGGTTCCGCTACGATTTTCTACAAATCATTGTAAAAAACATACATTATCTTTCAATAAAAAAATGGCTCATTGTTTTGACTCCGGCTCTTGACTCTAACTTTTTGTATGGGCCGATTATAATTTATTACACAAAGAATTAGTTCAAATTAGAAATGTGACGTCATTAAATGGTTATCCACAGAAGTTTGCTGAGGCTATTATAGGATATCAGCTGAGCAAATCATATATAAAACAAAATGTTTCATCTAATACCTCATCTATAAATAATCAAACACCAATACAAATAAAGAAAAAAGCATATTGTATGGAAGTACGGTAAACAAACCTATACGATACACCCACACTTCCGCGAATTTTTCGGGATAGAGCTGAGTAAAACTTTCCAGGTCTTCCTATGTTTGAAATACTAACAAAACGAAACACAGTGTTATCCACGAACCCACTAGTTATCACATGTTTGATTTTGTAAGGATCCTGGTCGGAGCACAATATTGAGCGAGTAACTGAACCAAAGCAAAATGTATAGTGTGTTCAAAAGTAATATCCTGTTCTGGTGGATCAACAGCGGTACACCCAACCATCTGGAATCATCCCAACCCTAGTTGAGAATCCCCGAAAAAATCCTGCGGGATATCCGTTAAAAATTCCCACGAGAATCTCATTACGGAATCCCACGAAATTTTTCACGGGATTCCCATGGACTTCCGCGGGAGTTGATTATTTTTTCTGATTTTTCAAAATTAGAGTTAGTGTTTTGGCATTTCAATATTTGTTTAAGTAGAGGTCGAAGCTATTATCAGTCACCTCTTTTTAGTGCAGTTTAATCACAAATGTGACATGACAAAAAACTTCGAAAAGATTTTCAAGAAATCAGTGGTACTTATATACTGTAAACAAAATGGTGATTGGAATTGTAAGGGGAAGCCGTAGGAGTTGTAAATTTCTCCTGACTTCTAGGAGAGTTGGAATAAAATTGTTTTCAAAAGAAGCCGTGGCAGAATATGAATGTCCAAGCTGATACAAACAACGTCGAAATTAAAACGATTATATCAAGTTGAACTTGAAAAATCGAAAGAGTTATTGAAACATTTAAGACGATTTTTGGAATTTTTATCTAAAATGAAAGATGATCTGTTAGATGTCGAACGCAAAGTAATAGAAAAATCGAAACAAACTGGTGAATATAGTCGTTCATATGTATCAATTCTTCGAATATCAGGCACAAAAATCAGATTAAAATTGTTAGAAAAAGAGAGAAAACAACTCGCGAACGAAATATGGTCAAACACGAAAACAATAAAAGGTGCCATTGATCAAATTGTTGCAAGAACAAACTGAATAGATATAGTCCGTACTTGTGGAGGGTGTCCTCTCCCAAAACATATCCTTGAACTTTGCTGGTTTGCAGAGAATACCTTCAAAGGTATGTGTATAGAATAAAAGAAAGTTCGGTCAAGTATCCACAAAGCTATTAAATTCAAAACTGATTAAAACTTTTAGCTTGCGCGGCAGTTTTTAAAACTTTTCTGCTATTACCCATACATTTTACATTTTGTTGATACGAGTTTAGTTTTATAGAGAATTGATTTATACATAATATCTAATGCAAAACAAGTTTAACAATGACATCTTGTTTTTCAAAGTCAGAATGTGGCTACATCGTCATCATCAATACAAATTACAGTCAAGTATTCCGTTGTAAGGAACCAACTGGAGAAAGGAAACAGTTATTGTAGTGGAAAAGAAAATGACTCGTACTGAGTTGATTTTCTTTTATATATATTTTTTTCGATTTTTACGACAGAACATATGAAATTTTTTTTCTTATGCTGTTCATTTGAACAGCTTTTTTCAAACTCAAAAAGAAAAAGAAAAAGTAAATTTTCTCTTTGACGATGCAAGAACAGACACCATGTGAAGAGTGACATACGAATGGATTCCATAGATACCATTTGTCAAAAAATTGTTTGGAATAGTACCATTGCTGAATTGAGAATAGTTTATGATAATATCGTAAATGAATTAAAAACAAAATTACCGGTAGACATCCTTAACCCTTTGGCGACGGGAAGCCCATATATAGGCAAATGTAGCGACACTCCTGTAACTCAAGAATCATAACAGCTAGTAACTTCTAATTTTTTGTGGGCGTAGCTCTTACCGAATGTTGATCATCCACTAAGTGTGGGTCTCCTTTACTAGATGGTTCGTGAGATAAAAGTGATTTATTTCGTTTCCGTAAAATAACAGTAGCTCCTCATCTAAGAAAGATGAAAACTTTTCTGTTTTACTAAAATGTAGCTACGACTGTACTCTATCTACGATATGAATTTTGTGAGTTGGGAGTTAGTAGTCAATGAAATACAGCTATTTTACGGGCGAGGTGCGCGGTTTTCTGTTGATAATTCGAGTTTCTTTGCGAAAAAAAATTCACAATTCAGTCTAAGAGCATCATTTTGACTTCAAATTCGCATCAAAGGCTTTACCGTGTCTGTGAATTATTTAGTCGAAGTATGAAGAAAAACTATTGTGTACTTCTGGAAATTCATTGAGAACGAGCACCCACGAGTGAAACATATGTAGAAGAGCGAGGGTGGCGAACTAAGGGTCGCTCTTTATACTATAGAATCTGCATGCAATGTATATCATAATCATGAAAAAAAAATCATGGAAACCTATGATTCCGAAAAGCGTATGGGAAACTTTTGTCAGAAAGATTACACACTCACCTCTGACTTTCGCCATTTCACTTATTTTGCGCCCTTTTCACTTCCATTATATTTTCAAGCAAAAGTAATAACATATGTGAGATCAACAGACAAAACTGGGTCTAACAGCATACTTAACATTCGGTTTTCGAACAAAGAAAATTGTATTAATAATTTTCTCTCTAGTGGGAAGACCGGACGTATATATACGTCTCTCGTCGCCAAAGGGTTAATGATATAACCACCGTAGTTCAAGCTGTTACCAATGTTACCCGTACAGTTTTAACTGAGCCATCCTTGTTAAATCATGAACCATATTCAATTATACAGAACACGATAGTGGACATACTCACTAAATGGAACAACAATGAGACATTAAAGGATGATAAGTGAAGTGGTTGGAACTTCCAACTTGGAAGGCGACTGTGTCCTGTGCTTTTATTTATGATGAAGTAAAAATGCTTTACGATAATTGATGAGAGAGAGATGAAAAAAACATGCTATACTGGAGAAAGGATGAGAAAATGATACCATATAAGATGATGAGGAAAAAAAAGCACTATGTAAAAACTATATGTACATAAGAAATACTTATTTTATAGTATAATTCCTTCCTAGTATTTTCCAATTGGAAAGTACATATAGTTTAAATAAAAGAACAGGAAACAATTGATAAACACATGCTCACGCAAAAAAATACAAAGAAAAAATACGAAGTGAGTAATCGTCTTTTTCTGTTCCTCATTTTGTCCTTGAAAACAATCTGTGTGTGTGTGTGATTAACCTCTCCTGTAGTGTTGTTTTTATCGAAGAAAGAAAGAAAGCGAATGAAGCGAGGCGTGATATTTGACTAAAGAAGAGTGTGTTTTTTTTTCCTTTAATATTCATATTTCTCTTTCCTCTCATTTCACATTAAAATAAAATTGTCGAAATCATAGCAAAGAAGCACGAAGAAGGCTAAATGGGCCCTAAACAGTCGTCAACAACTTCACAAGATGGACATTTAACACCAGAATTAATTAAACGACTAGAAGCAAATACAAACTATTCAGTAAAAGACATTGAAGAACTTCAAAAAGGTACTTAAAACTATGGGTATAGTCTTTTCTGTCTTATTTTGACTTTCCGAGCTGAGATGTTCAGTTTGTAGAGCATAAAGTTCTCTTCAAAACACGATATTTTCAGATCTCTAAGCCCGCTAAGTTCACCGCGTTATGACTAGGTATGCATGGGTACCGATGTACCTAAGTCGTTCCGACCTATTGAAACTTTTCCTTTTTCTATTTTCCATGAAAAGTGTATTCCTGTGGAGAAAAGGGTTTTCTACTAATTAAGAAGCACTGATTCAGGCTAATCAATGTGAAAAAAGCGTTTTACGGTTTTTCACCTTGAAGACAGAGGTTTAGCGTTTTATGTCAAGAGTAAAGAACGGTCTTTGAGGTCGCTATGACCTTTGACAAATCGTAAAGTGAGGCACCCCAAAAGACCGTTCTCATAACCTTAAGGCAGAACAATTACCAGAAGAGACGCTCGCTCGCTCGTACTACTACTACTAAACTTGTACTTTTTCTATTTCCTTTCTAGAATTTTTAGATCAATGCCCATCAGGTCCGTAGCTATAGGCTTTTGTTGCTGCACTTATGAACTCTTCTTGCGCTTCACACTATTCTTTTTATATAAAAATTTCTTCTCAAGGTGAAATGGATTTACGAACATACCATAAATGGATGCGAAAACTCCTTCCTTTGACTGTGAGTATTAATGCGAAACTTTCTGTCTGCTCATTCAATAACTCTGTTTATTTGGCCTCTGTTTTATATTTAAGAAAAAAGATAATCAAGAAATATTTACCGCCATTGACGAAGATCATGACAGTTCGTAAACCACTTAACCATTATTTTTCGATTTTTGCTTGTACTCCTTTGAAATATATGCTTTCTCTCTATTTTACTGCCTAGAATATATCACTCCGTACGAATACATCATGTATTTACATGCATGCCGGACTAACTCAAATGAAATCCTAGACCAAGCTAAAAGAGAGCGTGCTGTGATGGCATTTGATATGATGGATCGGTATGGTAAGGGTTATATTGAAGGTGATGACTTGGCTAAAGTCTTGCAGATTTGGAAAGGTGGCAACCAATTGGATGCTGGTCAAGTTACATTTCATGAACGCAAGTCAAAAGATGAATTCATTCAATGGTATATGACGCGAGATGATTTTGATGATTTAGTGCGTCAAACTTTCAATATATAAGCTTTTTTGTTAGCTAGTTACATTGCCTTATAAAGAAAAAGAGACATTTTTTTACTCTCTTGCATTAGTCTTCTTGTTCTTCTAATACCTTATTAGATTTCTTTTTATTAATAGAAAGACAAAAAAATAGATAGGAAAGGGCATTTACTGTTTGGCTTGGCCAAAAGTCACGGAATTTCATTTTTGCAACTTTATAGAGGAGTATCTCGAGGAAGATGGACCATAGAAGGTTGAAGTTTTTACTGGAGGTTGTCAACGGTACATTATGTACCCACTAAAGAGTTCAGAAGGTTTCCGCCTGTGATTTAGGAGATAATTAAGAAATATGGCCGGTCAAAGAATTTTATAATATGTAATTTATTGTAATGGTCTGAGTATCTTCTGAAAATCGGAGCTCAAACGAAGCTTCCATCATTGAGCAGTGAGACACAGAAGGTCGCAATGTTAGGAGCAAAACTATGAAAAAATTCTTTTGTGACTTGTGTTTGCGCATTGAAGCTTAAACTTTCAGTTAATGACGGCCACCATCCCTAGGAGCCATAGTAAAAATATCAGGCCAATACGGCTGTCCGTATCTGAGAAATCGAAAACTCAATGAGAAAATTGAGAATCTCGATTGTAACTTGAAAAATTCGTATCTCGTCAAGGAGGCACTATGGGCCTGAACCAAGTTGGGCTAGTTCACATCTACCTATGGGCTGTCTAAACAACATAGCCTCACTCCAAAAGCGATTGAACACCTCGAGAGGTTCTCTCGTAAGATTCAGATAAGAGTCTTCTAAGAAATTGATAGGAAAGCGATAAGAAACGCCTAAGATACTCATCAGAAAGTGACAAGGTGGCTTGTTACTTTCTTGTGAATATCTTATGGGATTCTTATAAAATTCTTATAAAAATCAGTGGATTTCTTATTGCTTCCGCGCAACATCTTATATAGGAACATTGTAAGAATTTTATCATAAACTTATAAAAATTATCAAAAATTCTGTCTCCCACAAAGAGGAGCGTAGGCTCTATCATTTTGTGAAATTGGATTTTATTGTTGCCTGAAATTTACAGCTGAAAAATCCGAGTACTGTTAACCCTTTGACGGCCGGCGGTACATATATGTACCACCTGTTTTCAGGAGAGCATAACTTTTGATAGAAAGCAGCTAGGGAGCTTCGATTTTTGCCATGCGAAAGAAGAGACTTGGAAACATGTTTTCGCGAATAAAATAAGTTTCAGAAGAGTTTTTGAAACAGGTTTTCTAGGAGATCTTTGGAAAATCAAGTTGTACGTAAACTTTTTTCAACAGGATTGCATAGGTTTTCTTTCATAAACTGGTAACCGAGATCTCTTCTTCAAAACGGAAGTTAAGCGAGACCTTGATTTTCCGTCGTTCGGGCACCGTATCAAATTTCCTACGAGCCCCAGAACTGGTACCAGGCGACTATTGATAGACTTGAAACCTGATGGATTATAGGTACTCTAAGGTTTTGCGAGAGAGCTTCTAGAAAACCCATTAACAAAAATATGCTTTCTCGATTTTTTGATCTAATAATCACGTTTAGCGGACAAAATTAACAATATCCTGAAGTTTTGAACGCGTTCTAATGTTTTTTGAGCGAAGAGTGAATTTTTTAATATTAGGTGAAACAGCCTCAAAATCCAAATTTTCATAAAACTCGCTGTTTGCTAGGTTTTTAAAGCCTTTTCTACAAAACAAATATTGCCATGAGACTTAGCATGATCGATTACCTATAATCCATCAGCTTTCAAGTCTATCAATAGTCGCCTGGTGCCAGTTCTGGGGCTCGTAGGAAATTTGATACAGTGCCCGAACGACGGAAAATCAAGGTCTCGCTTAACTTCCGTTTTGAAGAAGAGATCTCGGTTACCAGTTTATGAAAGAAAACCTATGCAATCCTGTTGAAAAAAGTTTACGTACAACTTGATTTTCCAAAGATCTCCTAGAAAACCTGTTTCAAAAACTCTTCTGAAACTTATTTTATTCGCGAAAACATGTTTCCAAGTCTCTTCTTTCGCATGGCAAAAATCGAAGCTCCCTAGCTGCTTTCTATCAAAAGTTATGCTCTCCTGAAAACAGGTGATACATATATGTACCACCGGCCGTCAAAAGGTTAAGTGATCGCTGTTTGTGAACGGTTTCATCATGTACGATGCTGAGCTATGAGGGAAAGCAACAAAAATTGTGACTTTTTCCAAACATATATAGAATGAAATTTGTGATCATGGTTAGTTGGAAAAAGAACAGAGAATCTTTCGATCCCAGGGCATGAAAGCGATATGAATCTGAAGTTTACAGACACACCCAACAAAGGAAGCCACATTGTCTACCAGGGTCTAGCGTTGAGTTTTGTATCTCTGAATATCAAAGTTATTTATAGCAACACATTTACATGAAATCGCTCGTAATGCATTCATAACAGCTCTCAAAGAAGATAGTTGTACAAATGAGTTAAAAAGGAAAGTGATCTAAGTACAGCTTAAGCGAATATAAAAGAATTCTCATAATATTATATAAAAAGATATAATCGACTGATTTTTTTCAAAGATATGAGTAAATGCGGCATCATTTATTCAAGATATATTTTCATCTTATGATAGACAGATCTTACACACAGTTTGCCTTAAGAAAGATAATTTATCCAAGAGAGTTTTAAGACTTTAGAAGAACTTCGAACAGCCATTTGATAATTCCAATAGTCTAAAGCTATTTGCTTTCATAATAGAAATCTTTCTACTGTAATTCAAGAAATACTAATATTTTTTTTATCTTAAACTTAATCTTCATTTGGAAGTTTTGAAAACAGATGTTTTAAGTCTAGTTGTATTTCAAACTACGTAGTGTCTTGCGTGAGCTGCATTTTTTATCACAATCGTCTAAAACATTCTTTTGATACTATCACTCTCATAAATTTTATTTTTCAATCATAATCACGGAAAAAAATCGCTTTTCTCTCACAGTCACAATGTAAATAAGTATTCAGTCAGGATGACAATATTTTTCATCATAAAATTGCTTAAAACTCATATGGTATTCTGTTTTATTAGTAAAAACATACCTTACAAAAAGAGGCTACAAGAATTTACCTTACTAAAATTCATTGAATTTATTCTAGTAAAGCGAAAGATGTCAGAGGATGTGGAAAAGAATGCAATATTAGATGTAAAAAAGAACTTTGCCTGGAATTTTTTATGACAATCTAGATCATGATGTATATTATGCGAAAAAAACGGGTTTTGTTTTTCTTATTAATCTTATCTCTTTTGCACCTTATTTTTTGTTCAAGCTAAATATAGCATAAGATACAGCTTGCTCCTTACTTTCTTGATTGACCCTAACTCTATATTACCAGATCTACTCTGATTGAGAGAGATAACAGAGCTCGCTGTATAGGTGTATTATCTGCCTAATTTCTTGTACCAATTTATTCTTCTTTCAATATGTTTTTAGTGACCATATTCCACTCGATTTTCAATTGCTTCAAGATAATTTAGTTATTGCAATCAATATTTTTCTTGCAATCAATTCTCGATCCAATACAAATTTATGCAATCTACTATTTTTATCCTATTCAAATTACATTTCCTCACATTAATAAAAGAAAAGCAAGTGGGTTATTTAACTATGCCAAAGATCTTGCAGAGCAACTGTATTGTGATATGAAATGTTTTCGACAACAACACATTCATACAACTCGAATTGATATGTTTTCCACAATAAAAGAAGAACAAAAACTGATTCCTCAACTAAATGATAAACAAATGATGTTTCTTTCATCCAATTTATTCATTGATATCCATCATTGCGATATACAGTACAGAATATCATAAACAGAGGTAAAATATCATTTCATGAAACAGAAAATAAGACAGAAACCGGATTATACTTTCAAACATTATCTGAGAATAACAAAGAAACTGACCAATTTGAGCAAAATCCTGATTTTTTGCAAATTGTTTCAAGAATTCACCAGCTAAATGAGCTAAACGATCTGTTTCTATTACAAAAACAATTAGTTGATATTCAAAAACGCGTCTTACAATCGCCTGCAATTCTTACACCATTTACTATATATCAAGCCAAGATTATTACAAACGATACACTCGAAATGATGAAGATTAGCCGTGGTGAATTTCTTAGTGAATCTCTGTCGTTTCGCCAAAAGAGGATTCGCCAAAAGACAATTCGCCGTGGCGAACTGTCTTGTGCCGTTTCGCCAATTGGCGAAAGCGTACAAATTCTTGGCGAAACGGCACTGACATTTCGGCATGGCGAATTGTCTTGCGGCGAAACGGTTTTTTACGCCGCTTTTGTGTACGCAAAATTTTGGGGAATCTCTGACGTTTCGCCAGAGCACGATTCGCCAAAAGACAATTTCCTGGAAACCTCCCTCGAAATATATATTTTCAAACAAACTAACGG